AATTTAATATCGGAAAATTTTACCATTACGGAATAGGAATTTCAAAAAATCTCGAGATGGCTTTAGATTGGTATCAAGAGGCTTATGTAAATGGACATGATCGAGCAGCTGAAATGGTTGAATCATTTAATTTTGAAGAAATTTTTTCAAATTGTTAGTTAATTTTTTTAATTTTATCATCTATTTTTAGAGATTTTTTTAACTCTAAATACAATTAGCTCAAGATTTATAATATAGCTTTAATTATTTGAAAAGATAAAGAACTTAAATACACGATATTGTAACTGATGAACCGTAAACGAATTCGTGATAAGATTTCATATTAGTATGTTGTTATGTCGAGTGCAGGAAATACATAATCTAAATGTTTTCGTTAAGAATGACATAATTCGAGGTAGAAATGGAATTTACACGCGAAATGTATTCAGGGCTTTAACATTATAATATACTTAGACTACATATAACAATCACTTTATTTAAAAATAATCTCTTTTTTATTAAGTAGGTTTCGATCAATCTTAGATTAGTTTTGATTTGACGCAATCCAACGTGATCCAACCCTATATGCATTTTAGATTGCAATTTTTTAATTGCCAAGTACATGTTTCTAATGCTCGATCAATCCAAACGAAAATTCGTGTGAAGAGGATCGATCAATCCAAACCGTATGTGAAGACACCCATATTATTACCCTAATACGTATATTATTGTTTTAAATTCATCTCAATCCAGTATAACAAAGTTTTCGAGTAACTGAGCACGGGTGCCAGTATGCTTGTAATCATAGCGCTGTGAAAAAAATCTATTCTTTCAATATTTCTTATCTTTGTGATTCCGATTGGTTTACCCCTTAAATCACGTGATTAAAATTTATTTTCTTCTGATCATTTTTACCCGAAATGCCTATTGTCACGTGCACTGTACGTTTTTCAAGGAAAATTTTGCCATCAAGAGAAAACTTCGAAAAAGATGAAATTAGGGTTTAAAGTAAGATGAATATTCAAAAAATGATAGCTTGATTATTTTGTGAAAGTTTTATCCATAATTTGTGCATTCACTTATTTAATCATCAACTGATATGATTTTTTATCTCTCGCGACAAGTTTTCAAATTTATGTGGTACTGTGTACACACAAGGAAATCTGCTGTTCTTGCCTGATGGAAACTCGATATTGAGCCCAGTTGGTAACAGGATATCGATGTTTGATCTTGTAAAGTGTGCATTGCAGTCTATCTTTATTATGGTCAAGAGCATTTAATTGATTGATTGACTGTGTTATGAAAAATCCACAAATCACTATCCATATATTGATAAATAGCAACAAGACAATCACATTTCCTTTCGAAAATCGAATGAATATTTCTCGAATAGCTCTTTCTCCAAATGCAAACATCTTGATCTCAGTCGACGAGGGTATGTATAAAAATTTCTAAAAATAAACAAACCTCGCCTAATATTGAGATGTATTATTTATTTATGTTAATAGATGGAAAATGTTTATTGATCAATTTTCCCCGACGTGTCGTATTGAGTGAATTCAATTTCAAATCTAAAGTTAATGATTTGCAATTTAGCCCTGATGGGAAGTAAGTATCTTTATTATCTAAAATTTGATTAATCCTTCATGTGAGGTTAAAAATACCACGTCAATCACCATCTTGGCTCTTATTAAATTCTAACATATTATATACTATTTCTTAATTCTGTTTTCATTTCAATTAATATTTATAGATTCTTTGCGGTGACACATGGAAAACAAGTGCATGTTTGGCGTTCCCCTGGATTCAATCGTGAATTCGCGCCATTTGTTTTGCATCGTAAATATACTGGGCATTATGATGACGTTACTTCTATTACATGGTCTCCTGATGGCCAGTAAGTGATTGATTAAATAATATATTGTTTTACCCGATTGATGCTGAATTATAAATCATTGATTTTATTATTTACAGATATTTTTTGACAACTTCAAAAGATATGACCGTAAAAATTTTTTCACTTAATCACATTGAAGGATTCATACCAATAACATTAAGCGGTCATCGTGATACGGTAATCGGTGCCTATTATTCAAAAGACGGGAAATATGTAATTTAACCAAATTCAATTAAAGTTTTTTTTTTCTATTATTATACATTTATTTACAAATTAATTCATCAATTAATATTTTTCTAGCTTTACACTGTGAGTAAAGATGGCTCATTGTTTATTCGAGAATTTAAAACTGACTATAAAAATGATGACGATGATATGGATATTGATAAAGAACAAGACGATGATTCAATAAAAAAACCGAAAATGAAACGCTGGCTTATTATTCAAAGGCATTACTTTAATCAGGATGGTGCAAAAGTCGAGTGCAGTTTTTACCATTTAGAGTCGAAACTTTTGGTGGTTGGATTTTCATCTGGAACTTTTGGTATTTGGGAGATGCCAGAATTTAATAATATACATACATTAAGGTAAATTAAATCTCTTAGTACAATTTTGAATTTATATTAATTATTTTGACTCGTAGTATTTCACAGAAAAAGATCAATTCCGTGGCAATAAACGCAACTGGCGAATGGCTTGCATTTGGTTCTTCGAAACTTGGCCAGTTACTAGTATGGGAATGGCAGTCAGAATCATATGTGCTTAAACAACAGGGACACTATTATGACATGAATACCATTTCGTATTCATCTGATGGACAATATATAGCTACAGGGGGCGATGATTCAAAGGTGAAAGTATGGAACACGACTACTGGATTTTGCTTTGTAACATTTTCTGAGCATAGCTCAGGCATATCAGTAGTAGAATTTGCAAAACAAGGCCAAGTATTATTCTCGGCTTCATTAGACGGAACAGTGCGCGCATTCGATTTAATACGATACAGAAATTTTCGTACTTTTACTTCACCCACACCCGTACAATTCACAGCACTAGCTGTTGATCCCAGTGGAGAAATAGTATGTGCCGGGTCAATGGATACATTTGAAATTTTCGTGTGGTCAGTGCAAACAGGGAAATTATTGGATATTTTATCGGGTCACGAAGGTTCGATTTCTAGTCTGGCGTTTAGTCCAACTGGGATGTTGTTGGCCTCAGGATCATGGGATTGTACAGCGCGTACTTGGGATGTGTTTGGTCGTGGAAGTCATGTTGAAGTGTTCCGCCATAGTCATGATGTATTGACGATCGCTTTCCGACCTGATGGTAAAGAATTGGCTGTTACCACTTTGGACGGATTAATTTCGTTTTGGGACGTTGAACATGGCACTCAGTTACACGAGATTGAGGGTCGTAAAGATATTTCGGGTGGTAGAAAAGAAACTGATCGTCAAACAGCTGCAAATTCATCATCCGGAAAATCATTTAATAGTATATGTTATACCGCGGACGGGTCAAGTGTCATAGCAGGAGGAAATAGCAAATATGTTTGCATATACGATGTAAAGACTTCGATACTTCTAAAGAAATTTGAAATTTCACATAATTTGTCGTTAGACGGTGTACGTGAGTTTCTCAATAGTAAACGAATGACCGAAGCTGGACCGATTGGACTAATTGACGATACGGGGGATCTTAGCGATTTAGAGGATCGAATGGACAATAGCTTACCTGGGACACAAAAAGGGGACTTATCAGTACGAAAAACCAGACCTGTAATCCGAACTAAAGCTGTGAAGTTTTCCCCAACTGGACGATCATGGGCTGCTGCCTCTACTGAAGGCTTAATAATTTATTCGCTGGATGAAACATTATTATTTGACCCGTTTGAACTAGAAATCGATATTACACCAGTTTCCGTACTTGAAATGTCTCACCAAAAAGAACACCTGAAAGCTTTAGTTATGGCTTTTCGATTAAATGAAGCTTATATAATAAGTCAAGTCTATGAAGTTGTACCACCATCCGAGATCGGATTGATCGTAAAAGAATTGCCGGATCGATATATTGAACGACTATTTAAATTTATTGTTACTCAAATGGAGCAACAGTCACCACATATAGAGTTCCATATGTTGTGGATCATGCGGTTGTTCATGGCTCATGCAAAATGGATTAGACAGGGAAGTCACGGCCAACTTGCTGCTGTATTGAGAGGATTACAGAAAGTTGTTGCTCAAGCTAAAGAAGATTTGGGAAAAGTGTGAGTTTTTTCGATTATATTTATTTTTGAATTTAGACGACTTTTTGAAGACCTATTTAATTTTAATTATTTATTATAGATGTGATGACAATACATATATGCTGAAATATCTTATATCAGAATTCAAAAAACAAGAACATTGACATTCAGAAATAATGCAACAATGTATCTAATTTTTTAATATGAAACTGTACAAAGTAATTATAATTAAAAAAATGTAGTTCTTGTTTTAAATTACAAATTTTACTAAAATAATTTATAATAAAAATTGAAGTCAAATTTTGAATAACAAATCAATTTTATAAGCAAAATTTTAACTCTAAACAAAAACTATAATTTATATTATTAAACTTGAGTTAATCTCAAATCAAACTTAAAGATTCAAATTTCAATTTTGAGTCTGGTTTGAATTCAAAGTTCAGAATTTTTTTCAGTTCAATCTGGTTAAAGTTTTTAAAATATTATTTGAATTTAATTGATTAGATTATTCTTATTTAATCTTTTTTAATCTAATTTTATATTTTTTAGCAAATTAAATCTGTATTTTAGTGTTCTCTTTTCAGATATAACTTTATATTTTATTTTTAATATTTTAAATATATAATAGATAATAGATATCTATATTTTTAGTTTTATATAAGTAAATTCAGATTTTAATTATAATTAAATATTTATAAAATTAATTATAATTCTTTATTTAATATATATAAATATTAAATCTATTAGTATTTATAAAAATATTTTTTTTCTGTTATTTTTACTTAATATAAATAATAATAAAATAATAATATTTTATTTTCTTTATATTTTAATTTTTTTTGAAAATAATAAAAAATTTTACTTTTTATTTTAGAATAATATAATATTAAAATAGCTTTATATATTTTAAAAAGCTATTTCAGTTTAAAAATAAAAATAATAATAAATTAAAATAAATAAATATTATTTATTTTAAAAATTAATAAATTAAAAAAATAAAATTTAAATTTTTAATTTCTATTTAAAATTTATAAAATATTATTATTAAGAAATTATGAAAATAATTCTTTATTTTTTATAAATATTATTAAAAAAATAATATATAAAAAAATTTATAAAATCTTAAGTATATATAAAAATTATTTTTTTAAAAAAATAATTTATAAAAAATAAAAAGTATTCAATTTAAAAAATAATTTATAAATTTTGATAAATAATATTAAAATTTTTATATTTTAAATATTAAAAAAAATTAATAAAATAATAAATATTTATTATT